ACAATAACTGTTTGAATCAAATAATAAATGCTTTCATGAAATTCCCATTGTTTAGAGTTCAATATCACAGAAACTAAGCAGGACAACATTTTCCAAAGAATTCACCATATTTCGAATTTATCAACCTATCACGGATTAGTTTTTTAAAAATATCTTAAGGATTATTTTCTCGTAAAATGGAAAAATCGAGTTCGAGGGGCCCATAACCCCCGTTTGGCCTCTGTGTCGGTAATGAAATTTACAGAACATTAACAATATCAAATTCTGGAAAATTTTGGCTTTAAAAAGTCAACAGATAGTTATTTCGATGATATCTTGGAAAAAAGTAGGGCTGAGGTGGAAAATGGCAAAGAATCGTTCTCATAGTAAGTAAATGTTTCCTAACATAGATTTCTCTAAAATCTCCTCTTAGTAGATATTCATGAAAGAACGGGGTAGATTGATTTTATACAATTTTTACTCCAAGAAGTAAAAAGGAATAATTTTTCAAATATTCCTCAAACAAAGTGGCGTGGGGATGGAAATTGCAATAAATTCAGCTAGTTTTTTCCTTCCAAAGATGTTGGTAAAGTAACAGTCGGGTGTTCGGCAATTTTCGTTCCAAAGTTACAGACATAATTTTCGAAATACCTTAAAAACTAGTAGGTTGAGAGGAAAATGTAAAAAAATCATCTTCGCTGAGCGGAAATGTCTTCTGACGGATTTTGAAAAAATCTCCCATTTTCCAAGCTAATTTCGAACGAAATGAGCGGATTGTTTAAAAACAATTTATACTCCAAAAAGTACATATTGTTGTAGAGCCAAAGATACGTAAGTGGTGTATACTACAAGCATAACTTTTACGCCTCTTTAGCTCACAACGTGGATGTAATTTTTTTTATTATTTCTAAAACTAGTGGCTTGAGGAAACAAGTACCAAGGATCGTTATCGTAAATAATAAAATTACTCACAAAAACAATTAGTTTTCTTATAAATACAGCTAAACCTCTTTCTCTGAAAGATATTTGGAACATAACGGTCAGATTTCGGGCAGTTGTGGCTCCAGAGTTATATAGGGGAGGGCGGGGACAATAAACATTGTCGACTTTTCTAAACTGTTTATAACTACGAAATACATTCATCAATTAAGCTCAGTCTGGCCTCGTCAACAGTTGAATGAATTATTGGCATTTCAAAAAATATAAAGTGTCCATATTGCCACACTTTCCCCAACACATAATTACCTAAATATCTTGGAAACTAGTGGATTGTAGGAACAATGTCAGAAATCTTTCTCGTAGTTTTGGACATTTTCTACGAAATAGTTCATCTAATGAACTCCTCCAAACTTCTTCACTCCGAAGTTATGTGGACTACACTACTACATACTCACCATTCATGAAAAGGGTTTCTGTTATCCACGGGCAGAAGTCGATTGCACTATCCTTCGGCCCCATCCCATACGCCACTGCCATCTGAATAGAACAGTTTTCAATAAATTTTCATATTTCTTACACGGAGGAGGGTGTAGGTCGCAGTTGAAACAGAATTAAAGACGAATAGGTTAGATACTTTGAATGTCATCAAGTCTTTGTTGTTGATGAGTTATTGATTACCTCCAATGCACTCCAATTACTGAAGATCCTTTGTGTAACACTGAGTATAAAGTCTTTCGCGCTCGACATAATTATTCAGAAAAATGTATAAAATTGAGAGGGAAGTAACACATGCATCCGATGTATTTACAAATTCACACTGACCTCAAGGTATTGTAGAATTGTGACTATTTCTCTGTCGGTAAAAACGTTTCCAATGTTATCCAATCACTAAAAAAATCATTATCGGCAATATAATTAACAGCGAAATAATGAATTTTCTAATGAAATCAATTTAGATCATTTGGGAATCATTTGGGCTAGTTTAGAAACATGATTTTATCATTTAGGAACTAATAGTTTTTTTTTTGATTAATTTGTTTTTATACGGAATATAGTTAATAGGAGGTGAAATTGTCAAATGTTATTACGTTTCGAGTTTCAGAAATTCAGAAACGATACAAAAAATCATCTCCATTTGTAGGAAATTTAAATTTCAGTGGATAAGGAATTGCAAAAAAAATTATTTCATAAATCTTTCGACCCCAGTGGCTTGGCGCAGAGGGTAAATTCATTGCCTCACATGCGAAAGGTTCCGAGTTCAAATCCCGGCCGGGTAGAATGGTGCGATCTATAACCATTTTAAAGGCTTGATCATCATCGCAGTGTATACCCTACCAGGTCGAAGCGATGTAAAATAACGATAAAAAAAAATAATAATTCTTTTGATAAATTACCTAGTGGAAGAAAACAAGTTTTGAATTTCTTGAAAATTGGTTTCCAAATTTCTCAGGAACTGGTAGTTTTACACTTAGAAAAAAAATTAGTTTTGCCAAATATCCATTTACTTGACAGAAGTATTTTTTTTTCAGTACCGTATTTGTTCAGTCGAGTCATTCCCAGGCCATTCGTATTAGGTTTTAATTATGACAATTATATTGCTCTAGAAGATGATCATGTTATTAGTTATGACCTTGAGTGAACTCTCTGAATAATTATAAAATGATGTAAAATAAAATGATTATAAAATGAAATTCTTCCCTCTAGAAAATCAAAAATTTAGGAAAAATGAATAATCGATGGAGTTCATCTAAGGTCATGTGCAACATAGTCATCCTAGAGCATCTATGATTGTCATAATTGAAACGTAATTACTCACCTGGGAACAACTCGATTGGAGAAATACGATTTTGAAAAAATGAATGCTTCTCTTAAGTAAATGAATATTTGGAAAAAATAAGTTTTTTTCTCAGTGTACGGAACAACATAGAAATATCCGTTTTGTAGTTCATCAAATTTTCCACAAAAACAGTCCTTTGATGAATTCCCATAGACCACCTTCTTTCAAAAATATTTGAGAAGTTTATCTGTTTTCAACTCCATCCACTTGAAAAAAAATCAATTATTATTATTCAGAAAATTTCTTAAAATGAGTGCATTCAACGATGAATTTGAATACTTTCTTCCTTCCTTAACAATTTTTTGGAATTCGTAGTTCATTGAATTTCTTATAAAGGATTATTTTTTATAAACCTCCATAAATCTCAACGTTTAAAAAATATTGAGAAAATCTGTGAAGCCCGTGTAGTCATCTCCAAGCTCAAACATGGCATAAAAATTATTCCACGATTATTTCTGAAAGGTTTAGAAAGAAATACTTGAAGATTCTTTTCATTGCTCATAAAATTCTCACTTGTAATACCACGAGAGCTTCAAAATTATCGAGTATTTCCCGATAGGTTCGTTGCAAACAAATGAAGTCGTCAAGTTTTTCAGGAAAAATCACTCGCGCTTCGCGCTCGTGATTTTTATACCTGAAAAACTTGACTCCTTCATTTGTTTGCAACGAACCTATCGGGAAATACTCGATAATTTTGAAGCTCTCGTGGTATTACAAGTGAGAATTTTATGAGCAATGAAAAGAATCTTCAAGTATTTCTTTCTAAACCTTTCAGAAATAATCGTGGAATAATTTTTATGCCATGTTTGAGCTTGGAGATGACTACACGGGCTTCACAGATTTTCTCAATATTTTTTAAACGTTGAGATTTATGGAGGTTTATAAAAAATAATCCTTTATAAGAAATTCAATGAACTACGAATTCCAAAAAATTGTTAAGGAAGGAAGAAAGTATTCAAATTCATCGTTGAATGCACTCATTTTAAGAAATTTTCTGAATAATAATAATTGATTTTTTTTCAAGTGGATGGAGTTGAAAACAGATAAACTTCTCAAATATTTTTGAAAGAAGGTGGTCTATGGGAATTCATCAAAGGACTGTTTTTGTGGAAAATTTGATGAACTACAAAACGGATATTTCTATGTTGTTCCGTACACTGAGAAAAAAACTTATTTTTTCCAAATATTCATTTACTTAAGAGAAGCATTCATTTTTTCAAAATCGTATTTCTCCAATCGAGTTGTTCCCAGGTGAGTAATTACGTTTCAATTATGACAATCATAGATGCTCTAGGATGACTATGTTGCACATGACCTTAGATGAACTCCATCGATTATTCATTTTTCCTAAATTTTTTATTTTCTAGAGGGAAGAATTTCATTTTATAATCATTTTATTTTACATCATTTTATAATTATTCAGAGAGTTCACTCAAGGTCATAACTAATAACATGATCATCTTCTAGAGCAATATAATTGTCATAATTAAAACCTAATACGAATGGCCTGGGAATGACTCGACTGAACAAATACGGTACTGAAAAAAAAATACTTCTGTCAAGTAAATGGATATTTGGCAAAACTAATTTTTTTTCTAAGTGTAAAACTACCAGTTCCTGAGAAATTTGGAAACCAATTTTCAAGAAATTCAAAACTTGTTTTCTTCCACTAGGTAATTTATCAAAAGAATTATTATTTTTTTTTATCGTTATTTTACATCGCTTCGACCTGGTAGGGTATACACTGCGATGATGATCAAGCCTTTAAAATGGTTATAGATCGCACCATTCTACCCGGCCGGGATTTGAACTCGGAACCTTTCGCATGTGAGGCAATGAATTTACCCTCTGCGCCAAGCCACTGGGGTCGAAAGATTTATGAAATAATTTTTTTTGCAATTCCTTATCCACTGAAATTTAAATTTCCTACAAATGGAGATGATTTTTTGTATCGTTTCTGAATTTCTGAAACTCGAAACGTAATAACATTTGACAATTTCACCTCCTATTAACTATATTCCGTATAAAAACAAATTAATCAAAAAAAAAACTATTAGTTCCTAAATGATAAAATCATGTTTCTAAACTAGCCCAAATGATTCCCAAATGATCTAAATTGATTTCATTAGAAAATTCATTATTTCGCTGTTAATTATATTGCCGATAATGATTTTTTTAGTGATTGGATAACATTGGAAACGTTTTTACCGACAGAGAAATAGTCACAATTCTACAATACCTTGAGGTCAGTGTGAATTTGTAAATACATCGGATGCATGTGTTACTTCCCTCTCAATTTTATACATTTTTCTGAATAATTATGTCGAGCGCGAAAGACTTTATACTCAGTGTTACACAAAGGATCTTCAGTAATTGGAGTGCATTGGAGGTAATCAATAACTCATCAACAACAAAGACTTGATGACATTCAAAGTATCTAACCTATTCGTCTTTAATTCTGTTTCAACTGCGACCTACACCCTCCTCCGTGTAAGAAATATGAAAATTTATTGAAAACTGTTCTATTCAGATGGCAGTGGCGTATGGGATGGGGCCGAAGGATAGTGCAATCGACTTCTGCCCGTGGATAACAGAAACCCTTTTCATGAATGGTGAGTATGTAGTAGTGTAGTCCACATAACTTCGGAGTGAAGAAGTTTGGAGGAGTTCATTAGATGAACTATTTCGTAGAAAATGTCCAAAACTACGAGAAAGATTTCTGACATTGTTCCTACAATCCACTAGTTTCCAAGATATTTAGGTAATTATGTGTTGGGGAAAGTGTGGCAATATGGACACTTTATATTTTTTGAAATGCCAATAATTCATTCAACTGTTGACGAGGCCAGACTGAGCTTAATTGATGAATGTATTTCGTAGTTATAAACAGTTTAGAAAAGTCGACAATGTTTATTGTCCCCGCCCTCCCCTATATAACTCTGGAGCCACAACTGCCCGAAATCTGACCGTTATGTTCCAAATATCTTTCAGAGAAAGAGGTTTAGCTGTATTTATAAGAAAACTAATTGTTTTTGTGAGTAATTTTATTATTTACGATAACGATCCTTGGTACTTGTTTCCTCAAGCCACTAGTTTTAGAAATAATAAAAAAAATTACATCCACGTTGTGAGCTAAAGAGGCGTAAAAGTTATGCTTGTAGTATACACCACTTACGTATCTTTGGCTCTACAACAATATGTACTTTTTGGAGTATAAATTGTTTTTAAACAATCCGCTCATTTCGTTCGAAATTAGCTTGGAAAATGGGAGATTTTTTCAAAATCCGTCAGAAGACATTTCCGCTCAGCGAAGATGATTTTTTTACATTTTCCTCTCAACCTACTAGTTTTTAAGGTATTTCGAAAATTATGTCTGTAACTTTGGAACGAAAATTGCCGAACACCCGACTGTTACTTTACCAACATCTTTGGAAGGAAAAAACTAGCTGAATTTATTGCAATTTCCATCCCCACGCCACTTTGTTTGAGGAATATTTGAAAAATTATTCCTTTTTACTTCTTGGAGTAAAAATTGTATAAAATCAATCTACCCCGTTCTTTCATGAATATCTACTAAGAGGAGATTTTAGAGAAATCTATGTTAGGAAACATTTACTTACTATGAGAACGATTCTTTGCCATTTTCCACCTCAGCCCTACTTTTTTCCAAGATATCATCGAAATAACTATCTGTTGACTTTTTAAAGCCAAAATTTTCCAGAATTTGATATTGTTAATGTTCTGTAAATTTCATTACCGACACAGAGGCCAAACGGGGGTTATGGGCCCCTCGAACTCGATTTTTCCATTTTACGAGAAAATAATCCTTAAGATATTTTTAAAAAACTAATCCGTGATAGGTTGATAAATTCGAAATATGGTGAATTCTTTGGAAAATGTTGTCCTGCTTAGTTTCTGTGATATTGAACTCTAAACAATGGGAATTTCATGAAAGCATTTATTATTTGATTCAAACAGTTATTGTTATCTTCATCAACAACATATGAGAATAGAAATACTCAATAACTTATGAGAATGCAATAAATTAAGACATTTAGAATTCATTCCGGAATTCCATAGGGACTCACTTTTGGATGGTATTGTCTTGGGGCCCTCCAACACCTACATTTGAAAACAAAAATGAGTCAATTCCATCAGTTTATTAGCGAGCAATTAAAGAACAAGTTTCCCACATACATACAGGCACACATACGGTAATGTCAAAAAATAATCTTTGAATTATTTTATTGGGAATTCATCATTGTTATGAAATTCGTATAATGAAATTGAGAAATGACCGACTTTAGTCGTCATTTTCCAATTTTATTCCCTCAACATACATTTGCTATTGCTAACTGATCAGCGAAAAATGTGAGCATTGGACCCCACAAATTAGTGGGTCATCGCTCAATTCCATTATTAAAATCATAAATTAAATCAGTCGTTTTTCGCTCCTCGCCCCCAGTGGTCGAGTCTTAAAGGGGGCTTCCCTCTCTTTCCCTAACAGACTCAAGAGAAATCTAAATTTTTTGGTGATCGCGAAATTATTGAACTACTGGTGGAAAATGTTCACAAAATCGATCTACCTTCGCGTTTCTTCTCATATTGTAATGCACTTAAGTTGATACTATTCGTGGTAACTTATGGAATTAATAGTAGATAGCTATCCAGCGCGTTTGCGTAGGCATACTGTATCCTTAAATAGAGAATAGTGTCATTTCTTGCATATAAGGGACATTCAATATTTTATTTTGAAAGTAGCGCCATATGGTTTCGTTGCCGGTGATGAAATCATTAGTTTACCGAAAAGTTCATATATTAGTTATAGTGTTGAATATTTTTCAATATAATTGTAAAATCTATATCCATTATTAGAAACCTAATAATCAATGTAAAATCATTCATAATAATTTTGTTAAAATTTTGAAACCGGGTCAATAAATATTATAAATCAAATTAATCTGTCAATTCTAAGCAGGAACTTGAACTAATTTTTACTTCTGAAAATTCCTTCCTATCGTAAAAAGGAGAAAGGAAATCGATCTCGAAATATCTCGAAAATGTCGAAAAAGCGTAAGCGTAAGACTGAAACCGAAGCACCACTACTTGAGGAAATGAGAAGGCGCGTGCGGAGCACGCGCGGCCGATCTCGTGTAATAAAAACTAAAAGAGATGAAAGAAAACCCTTCAGAATATTATTTTCTTGATAATTCTTGAATTATGTTTCGAGAGTATTAAATTTAAAATATAAAAAGTTGTCCCCAACGCTGACAACATCTCCGAACATAACAATACGTACAGGCAGGGTTTGAAAATGGCATGTTCGGACTTTTTGGATCATAATAGGTTGATATACCACAAAGAAACCGAAACTCATATTTGAACGATTACAATGCTTTCATTTAGAAGCAAAATTGTCTAAAATCAATTTTTGCCAATATTTCGCAAAAAAAAGAAGTCGAAAGAGAATTTCTCAGTTCTTTTCCAGTTCAGTCATGAAATTTTTTTTATTCAGTCATGAAAAACTTGCGAGTCAGGGAAAATCTAGTTTTTGTTCGTAAATCTAGTTCTCAACAGATTTAAAAAACTATCTCTGTATTTTTCAAAGTAACGATTGTCCAAAAACAGTCACTCCCCTGTTATGAAACATTTTGCCAGAAATGATTTAGAGAGGTTAATCATCTTTATGATGAATTTTCAAAATTCCGAAAAAAAAATTGCAGTTCATACAATTCTGGATTTTTTGGTTCTGACTGGCTTTTTAATCATTTAAATTCAGTTTAAGATTTTTTGTGTCATATCCATCTATTATGATCCAGAAAGTCAGAAAATACGTTTTTTAGCCCCTGGCCGCATGTATGTGTGTAGCCAAGTTTTTCTTTAATGCTTCGCTAATGCATCAATGGAATTTAATCTTATTTTTCAAACGGAGGCATTATTGAGCCCTATTCATCGATATTAATGGAAATGCAATTCATGTAGCAGATTCTCCCAATTATCGGTCTGATATTCCAATTCAACTTTTGTATTGGGCTACGAGTCTCATCCTTTTGCTTCCGAAGGGAAGCATTATTTTATGGATAGTTAGGAGAGCTTTATCCTAAATTTTTAGCCTTGTGAGTCTAGTAACAGAGGAGAAACCTTGAGGTGAATTTTTTTTCTGATTTAAAAAAAACTTAAATCTGACGGCTACAGTTGTACTTTGACAGAAATATGATATACGTATGTTTCTCCTGAAAAATGCTGAATTTTTCGAAAAGAAAAGTTTATTTTATGACACTAGGCCCGATAAATCTCGCCATCGCATAAGATTATAAAGTCACGTTCATCAGATAATACTTTATCCCCTGATGACATAATGTATATTTTCATGCCATTAGTCCTTGACGCTTAAAAACGTCTTGTTCGTTGGAATTATGCCGTTCTTTTTTCGTCCGCCACATCGACTTAAACATAAATTTCTTCCTTTGGAAAAATATTTTTCTCCGTATTTACCTGAAGTTTCAACTTGCGCCTCCTGATTAAAGCTGAATAATTTTATGAAAACTGAAAACAAATTATCTAACTCTTCGACAACATTTCATGATGCATGATTATCAAGGTTCTTCTCCTTCGCAATACAATTCATTCTAATAATATTCTTAAGTTTTAATGAGACCACAATTGGAGTGTTTGAATGAGAAATTACAAGATTTTAAAATCGATCTGTGAACTGAGGCTGTGGGTTTGGCATTTGATTGAGTTTAGAAAGGTTCCGACATCTAATCCCGGCTGGTCATATAATGAGCTTTTATCCATTGCCATCTTAATAAGGTGCCTAAATAATAGCCATGAAAAGAGTACATGAAAGGGTTAGTCTGGCATAATGGGTTAACAATTTCGATTTTTTTTCATGTTTTCGCCTAGCTATATTCTTTAAGACTATTTCGATCGAAATTTCACATCGATATCTCGAAAATTATTGATGCTATAGGTATTTCAATACAACACCTATGAATGGAACGGTCGCTGGACCGTCCCAGCCCCTGCTGCGCGGTTCTGAGACGTCCCCAAGATACAGGTACTTTGTCCTCTAAGGTTTTCCTCATTACCTCTATTCCTTTATTATCCTCGAAATTGCACTTTTCAATTATGGCTTTCCTAGGTGTAATGACGAGAATTTAAATAACAGAATTTTGCGCGGCCGTCGTGTCTGGATTTTAGTGAGGGTTTTTATTCGTTGATTTTTATTGGCCTTATATGGGACATTCCATGTCAACTCAGCCACGCCGAATTTTTTTTTGTCTAGAAAAAATGATTTGATTGCCGCATTTCGAACTACTATATATAGACAGTATTCCTGCCAAATTTCATTGCCTCATGATTTTTTGTTTCTGAGATAATGACTACCAAACTTTAAATTTTCAAAAATTCATAACTTTTGAATGGCGCATCCGATTCGAACAAATAAAAAAAGAAAGTTTTTGTTTTCGTTCATACTTTCAGTGAAAAAATACTCCATAGGCGTGAAGAAGCTTCTACACCTCTTTTTCGATGAATTTTGACGTTTTTATTTTTTTTCGGCTCCAGGGCCGTCCGGTATTCGACTGGAATATTTTTTTATGATAGAGGA